TCTTTAAACCCTAACTTTCTTTCAAATTAAACGAAACAAACAAAATCATGATACTTGCAAGACAAATGTGAAGGGCAGGTAAGTAAAAGTAACTTTAAGAATTTAGTAAGATATTATTAACCTCACCTCATACAACAACCATTGCTTAAACTATGTTTTATAATACTTCCAACTCCTAGACGGTATACAAACTTGGGAAATGGCAATGCATATCTTAACCATTGTTTTTACTCCTTATAGCCTGTTTATCATGGCATACTCATTGTTAATAGTTTTGTAAATATTTTGATAAAAAAGGTCAGGTTCATTTCCCGACTATTTTGAAAACACGAGTGACTGGTTTCAAAAACTGCAATGGCTAAATATTGATCGGGTGCATTTCATTGCATAAATAAGTTAGGAAGAGAACCCTGCTTTTCTTGCTTTATAGCACTAAAACCTTTACTTTTCTCTACTTTTGTCTCTTCTTTCTTCCTTTTTTCTTTTCTTTTTTTTGTTTAGTCTTTTATTTACCACTTGAAAGCCTGAAATTAAATTTCATTGATAATTTAGCTGTGGTCCTGTGTTGCTTGGAAGTGTGGGTGTTGCATTCATTGAATGTTACCATTCCTTTTTGTATTTCAGATCGAAGATAGGAAAAACAAAGCTAACATTCAATCTCTGACACAGCGGTTTCACGACAAACCTAACAACAAGCAGTTCTTAAAACAGCTGAAAACTAGCGATTTAAAAGAAAGAAATAAGTATCCAAAAAATTACAACGCATCCGAAGTTTAAAAAAAGCTTTGGGTTATAGAATTGTCAATGAATGCACATTCATAAATTACGCGGATGAATATCATTTTAATCAATGAAAATGCTATTTTAAGCGATGTCGAGAGCCTATTTCACAAATAAATCTGACTGTCGAGTAGTGGAATATATACATGTCGGACTGTTTTGGCGAGAAGATTTTTGTTAAATTATTTACATCAATGTTAAACAACAGGTTTATCTTGAACAAAAAACCTCGAAATTAATAAGGATTACAAACCCGAAATGCAATGGAAAATCTAAATTTAGTATTACTTGATTTTATTCAGGATCTTCTCCGTGGTGCAAGGGTAACGCGCTCGTTTAGAGTGTCTGAGGTTCAAATCCAATTCAAGGCAATTATTTTTTATAAAGTTTCTTTGTTAAGGAAATAGCCACGATATGCAAAGATAAAGTGTGGCTGTCATAAAAATGAACATAAATGATTTTTGATGCAACTCTAGTCATGCAAAAGTCCATATGTATCAAACTCTGGGACCAAGCAAGAAGAATTATATTACATAAAAATAAACTGGTACAGGAAAATAATACAGTTATACAGTGTGATTTAGATTGCAAATATCAGAAAATACCACAGAGCTTGCAGCCTTTTGATTTATCTTGTTTTTCGTATGTATGTTCTGGAGATTAGGTGGGTGGTTCTCGTAATACTTTAAGATTTATAAGATTGTGTATTAAAAGACTTTGTAAATTGTTTCGGCAATACTGGATATCGTTTTGAAAATTTATAGAGCTACTTAAGCATTTTAAAGACATGAACGAAAAATTCATAGTAACAGGAATTAAAATTAATCCCTAAGTATTTCGGTTATAGTGATTATACCGTAATCAAACGTTAAAGGTCTCCTAAGAAATGTTCTTTGGAATTAAATACTAAGTGTAAGCATTAAAACATAAACCACCAGATTGCTTGCAAAATCTTTATCGGCAGGATAAATTGGTTCACAAAACATGATTTTTCACAGTCATGATCAAATGAACAGACTGTCATTTTTTTCCTGCTACCGAAAGATACGAACAGACTGTCATTTTCTTCCTGTTACCGAAAAATACACACCAGGAAGATTTCAAGTAGAAGACACGTCACTGACAGAATGTTCTTAATATTTGAATAGAAAAGAATTTGCTTAAACCAATTTATGAAAGAGAAATCGGGGATGCTACTTATTAAATTATTTGCCCATAAAAGAGGGTTTATTTTACTCGTTTAGATTATTTTCAGAAAAAAAGTCTCAAAAAGCAAAGGTTAGCTGATATAAAGATGTAAACCGCGACATACAAAATTAATTAACCTGTGAAACTGGAGTGAATGTGTGTTAGTTTATCCGTTTTTTTTCTTCAGTGCCTTCAGCACTTTGATCTTATCTGTAGTACAAGTAAACTACTGTATATCGTTTTCACCGAAAAATCATTAAATCCTAAACAAGTTTCTAAAAGAATCATAAACATTTATTGTATCATAGCTTGAAGACTTCTGTTGAAAACGTGTCAGAGTTAAATCGAATTCATATACATGCACAGTGCGTAACTGGAGTGCAGGTAATAGTTCCCAACACTCCTGTGCATGCCCATTGATGTACTCATTCTTTTTATTCTTTTTTTTTCTTTTTTTTTGGGGGGTGGGGTGCTTTTTGTGGAATAACGATAGACATGCCACATTCAGACGTTGGTTCATAGGTTTTTTTCTTGGGTTTCATATTGTTACAACAGGGAACGTGCATTTAATTTTGCCTATGGTATGAATATGCTGTAATTGTGTGTGGAACGTGTATGTACGATCTTATCAAGATAGCCTACGAAACGTCACTCATTACATACACAGATGCCCGTTTGTGCCAGAAACAATTTTGCAAAGGGGGCACCTGAGTTCTTACTCCACCAGTAAAACTGAAGTGTCGCCAAAATGACCTACACAGTTTTGAGTGACGTAACCCCTACTCCATCCCAAAAACAAACAATCAAATCAAATGAGACATGTCATTAACTGTATTTGATTTAAATACGTTATAGATAGCGTTAAATACATTTATTAGTGTGATTACACTGTGCTCGTTATAGTATAAATATCACCGATGCATTATGTTTGCCTTAAAATATTGAAATTGAAACTGAAATGTCAATGAAAATAATTGTACATGTATATAATATCTTTCCGTTTTGTCTAGAAAATGTCCGCTTCGCTGGAGTTTGATTTTTCAAGACAACGAAATTGCTACCTTGATTATCTTGTATACAGTTTTTCTTCGTTATACTCAAGTTATATAAACATGATACGTTAGAGTGTTGAGAAAAAATCAATAGACTTTTTTCCCCCGTTTACTCTGTTGTTCCAAAAATGTCCGTTGCGGTTTTTAGTCATACCCCAATGAATTGTGGGTAACTTCTGTACATGTCTGGGAAAACCAACTTTCATTTTGCATCAAAAGCTAATGTGAAAAAGCATTTCTAGCATAATTGTTGTTAGAGGATTGGTTGAAGTGTAAGTTATTGTTATTTTAGTTATAATATTGTGATTTGTGAGGAAATTTGTTTACATTTTTTTTGGACACCAAATTACCTGTCAGACCTCAGTGTAGCCCCTTTAAGCCCTTCAAAGAAAAAAGAAAAACAAGTGTGTTGACCGATTATGTAGTTGTGTACGTTTCCAATGTAATTATTATTTCTAACAAATATACATTTGTCAACTTCAAATTGGACCAAGCATTTAAGAATCAAATGACATTTTATTTAAGGTATTAGGCCCCTAATTGAAAATTTTAGCATATTTTTCAAATGGAAGTCTTTCTTATTTCAAAGCATTCAGGACATTATTTGTGTACTTTAAGGAAGTTTTGACCGTGTAATTACAAAGAAATAAGAAAATTTCACTAAAATTGTATCAAGTCCGAGGGGGCAAAATGGACGTCCACCAGCAAATGTTCAAAACGAAAAAAAAAAAAAAATTTCATTCAAAATGTTATATATTTACTATTTTTAAGTTAAGAAGACATCATACAATAAATTTATACAGTAAACAAAGATATATGATCAAGCATTTCAATCTAAATGTATTTTAAGTATATTCCTGAAATTCTAAAATGTGTCATTTTGAGCATATTTTTTGTCCGACCCACATAAACAAAGTAAAAAATATAGAAAAGCAGAATAGTGCATGCAAAAATATTGATTTACATTTTATCTATATCATATCCAGTGAAGTATATCAAAAAATGAACAACTTTTACCGACAAAATATTCCAGAAGAAAAAAAACATTTGAGAAGGTTAAATTTGCCGACTCGTAACTTAAAAAAACTAAAATTGATTTTTTACCCAAAAAAGAGAGAATAAATTCACTCTCTGCATTTCTAAAATATAAGTTATGTAATAATTGTTTTGTGAAACAATAAAGAAAAAATTTAAAGAGTTTTCTATTTTTCCAAGTTAAAAAGTCTTCACTACAAATTGTTCTAATGGGATAACATGACATAATTTCATTAAAAAAATCTTAAAATAATTAACAAACTTATGTGTCTTCATTCTGTTTAGTTTAATAAATAATTAATTATTATTTTATTAAATGCTTATCAGTGAAATACTTGCTTTAATCTGTGAAATAAAATATATATCATCATTGTACATGTATATCACGCACACTGTGACTGATATAGCTTTACCAAACTTTTTTTGAAAAAATTTAATTTTCAAAATTTGTAAATTTACATAGAATGTCATTGATTTGTAGTTTTCATAATGGTACATTTCTTGATTCCAAACTTATGATTTACACAAATACAATTATAAACAACAGCATAATGATAACTATAAACTCAAAACTACTTGGTTTGAGCAGTGTTTCAGCGGGCACCTGAAAGTGTGGGCACCTGAAAGTGTATCATCTTTACGTGCATAAATTTGTTTCCATTTATGATGAAAACTGTTAAAAATTGCTGGTTTCCTAACTTTTAAAATAAAATATAAAAATGACTTGTTTGTTTGAGTGAAAATGATATTAATCACACATCAAAGTAAAAAATATTCAAATTCTCAATTGTGCTAGGCACTCGTAAAAAAATTGCAATTTTCTCTCATCTTTCATTGTGTTACATAGTATATTCACTCAGAAAAAACTAATATCCTCAATCATTATTTCCTTCAACATATAGTATCATAAAAATAACAATATATAACACTGACAATACGGGTAGTTGTGGTCCTTTGTTTACAGTTCTATATGTAATGTCACTCACTTTTCCATAAGTCTTCCTGTTTGATTTACAGTTCACTCACTTTTCCTAAATAAGTCTACCAGTTTAGGTATTATAGCTTCTAGAACACGTTTTGAGTTTGTCACTCTTGGTTGACATTCAGAATTTTTAACTGTAAAGGTAATAAGAAGTCCATCTTCTCCTTCACGTGAGTATATTCTCTGAAGATGATTGAAGTTTAGTCCAGACCCAGCTATGTTCTCTGCTGTGGCTAACTTGCAAATACCACTTGAAATCAGGATATCTAAACTTCTGATATTCTTGGCTTTCTCCCTGTTAAACATAAGTGAATTGTACATGGCTTTTGGTGAAAAGCTGAATTTGATAATTTCCTGCTTTGACAACTTTGTAAACATAAGGAGTTTACGTAAAAATGTAACATCCTCTATAGCATTGTGTGCACTATACGTAGTATGAAGATGACGAACCACTAAATCTTCTTGTTTATGGGATTCACCAGGAAAAACCTTTTTAAAAACTGGAAGAGTGTCAATAAGTCCCAGGGTACAATAGTAAAAAGAATCTAGAAAATCCACTGTCTTTAAAACAGATAAGAGGACGGGAAAGTCAAACCGCCTACCATTGTGGGCAATAAGGAAAACATTTGACTTGCTTTCTAGCCATTTTATGAACTGATGTAAGGCTTCCTTGATAGGCAAAGATTCCACTAAAGTTCCATGAACCTTCATAAATGAATCAGTAACCACAATGCCAGTCACTTGTTGCGCAGTTGTTGTTATTGGCATCTTTGGTGTTACATACTTATCAAAAGGTATCACCAGTGTCGTAATCTATTGCTGATATCTGTGTCATGTGAGGAATGATACTTCCACGGACTGAAAATATATAAAACACCATAGATTCATAGAGTGCAATACATAATCTGTTTCATAATAAAATTTTTAATAGAATCCTGTGAAGTATAAAACCAATCAAATGATAAGCCTTCATTTTTTGATAAGAATGAGGTGTTTACTGTGTAAGATATATAAAATGGCCCTCTTTACAGCGACAACCTCATTAAAGAACAGTACATTTGTTGCAAGAAAATAAACTTCACTATGAAAGTATCCTTGTTACAATAATCTCTAGTCTAAACAATAAGTAAAGAATATTTGTTTGTTTGTATTGGGTTTAACATCACATCGACACAGTATAGGTCACATCGCGACATTCCAGCTTTACTGGTGGAGGAAGACCTCAGGTGCCCTTCCCTGAATTATTTCTGGCACGAACGGGTACCTGAGTATAACCAACGACGTTTTGTAAGCTAGCTGGATAGCTTCCTCACATATAAGAATCCAAAGTCCCTGTCGAGATTCGAACCCACAGCGGTGAGGGGCAAGTGGTTTGAAGTCAACGACCTTAACCACTCGGCCACGGACGCCCCTAAGTAAAGTATGTTGATGGTGTTTTAGAAAAAAAGCAATTACTTACTTAGATCTGTAGTCTCTAAATCAAATGTAACAAATGTAGCTTGGTCTGAGGGAGTGTATACCACAGGTTTAAAATCTCCTCGAGGAACTGCATCGGGAAGTTTGTCTACATCAACATCATGTTCATGACCAATGCCTATGACAAAAAATAAAATAAAAATGCATTCTTTTGTTTAAAGTATGGCAAACAGTTTGATGTTTTCCTTATCATTCATCACCTCAGAATCTTTAGCTGAATTATTTTGAAGAAAACCATTTAAAGCTGTTGTATTTTTTTTATATATTCACCTTCTGACATGGGCATCAACCATTTTCATTTTCTAACAACAGATGTATTCTCATATGATGAAAAGCAGAGTTGAAGTTATTCTAACACAAAAATAAGCTTATAATTTTCATGAAAACTGAGTTGGAATCCATTAATATAAGATAAGAAGAGTTTGTAAGTACCTGATTGATAGGAAATTCCCTCTAAGGCTTCTTGAGCACCCTGGGTGATAGCTCGTTCCTGCTTTAAAATGAGACGCCTACGTTTTGTTGAAGGTAACATTGACTTTTCCGATGACCTCTTTCTGTGTTGTGCACACTTTTCAGCATATTTCACAGTGTGTACCCCAGGTGACAACCCAGCTGTTTCATTTGCCTGTCAAAAGTGTTAAATGTTTTGTTACATTGCAGGTAGATAAATGCCAACCATATATAAATGTATAATTATTGTTCCAGTACTGTGCTCTAAGAGAGTTTCTTTATTTTTAAATAAAATTTAATTATTGTTATATAGTTGTAAACATAATCACTGAAGTCTACAACTTACGCTTTTGTCAGTATATTTCTAAGTAAAAACTATTTATTGTAATTAACATATTGATGAAGCATAAAAAGTGATAAATAAAAACTTACATCCAATTATGAACTGAAAACTTGATCACCAACAACTGTTTAAGAGGAACACAAAAACTAGTGATCAGGGAATCTGCAACAATGTAACTGCATCTATAACAAGTAAAATTGCAAATTCAACATATAACAAATGAACAATAACAAATAAACAGAACAAAAAACATGAACTTTTATGTTTCCTTCATTTTAGTATCAATTAATTTACATCAATTAACACAGGAATTTGAGAGAATTTTAATTGCATCTGTACGTGAATAATGTATTATTTTATTGAATTTTGCAAAATTTTATATTTCGCTTAAAATTTTGTAAACTTTAAAAAAGGAGGAAGGACAACATTCTTTAAAAATAAATTGTAACAAAAAAAAACAAAAACAAAAAACATATATGGTTAAAGTGACGGTTCATATTGTTGTTATTTGTTTATAGATAACATTTAAAAAAAAATTGAGGAATATGAACAGTCACTTCAAATGAAACCTGAAACTTTGTTCATACCTGGACAATATTCTTTCTCCCCTCATTGATGAAAGCAGATGTAGCATGTACACGGTGATCAAGGGATTCTGAATTGCCATAATGTAAAGACTTGGGTGCACGGAGTGTTACTTCTCTGTTACCATGTTCGCACTGCTGGCTTGAACCTAGGTCAGCATACTGTGTAGCATTTAATAAAAGAGGTTGAAAAATCACTTCAAGTCTTGATCGAAGGTTTTCATCTTTCAGAGGGATCTTATATGGCAGACTTCTGTGGGAGTACTTCTCACCAGGCTTTCTTTTATATCCACAAAATCTGGACTGACAGAAAGAGTGATCCCCAAACTGATGTGGAATAACTGCCTTTAGATTGTCCTCCATTCCAACTGGATCACCTTGGTTTTTGGAGAATACATATTTCAGGCATTTCTGAATGTGAATAATAACATTTTTGCTCAACTTAATTCCTTTCTCTGCAGCCAATTGATATAATCGCTTTCCAACATTTTTCACAATGTGATTTTTATCAAATCGTTTCTTCATTGTTAAATTTAAGTTCCCTTTCAAACAAGCTATTAGTGTGTTGTCCCCATCACCTTCGAGGTATTCTACAGGTGTACCTTGTTCTATGAGTTCTTTAACACCCTGCTCGCCACTTACACTTTCCATGAGTTTGGCACTTCCACTGTGTGTATGCACACACCTATGTTTTCTTACTTGATGACCCGGTCTATTACGTTTCCACCATTTACATGTTCCACACGTACGGTGGCTTACTATTGTCTTTAAAACTTTCTTTCCATACTTTGCTTTTCCCATGAAGAAAGTGTGGGCTGCATGATAAAAACACAACAAATATATTAGGAGTTTATCTAACTTAGTTAAAAAATCAATGTATTATGTTAAAAAAAACACACCAAAATAACAAAAAATAATGCATGATGTGAACATGACAGCCAGGTCAGAGCTCAAAGTTAAAACCATGGTAATTCAAATAACCATTAGGATTTTTCTTCTAAATGCCACAGTTTGAATGAACTATGTTGACTAACCAGTCTTCCTTTTATGCAAAACACACTTTTTCAATTATACATCAATAACAGTGGTTAAACATACACAGATACTTTTCTGACAAATTATAAATAATAACTGACATGATAACACAGAAAAAAAAATCTTTTTTTACTTACATGTTAAACTGTCAAATCCTCTTTTATGCCAGGCAGTATCTACTGCACAGGACATACCACTGCGAGTTTTACAGGGAAATTTCGGGGAAAGTCTTAATCTGCTGTGGGGTTTTTCAAGATGTGGACCACTTCTGATTTTGTTTTTAAACTTTGACTGTCTGTGAGAACTGTAATTGTAAAAATATATTTCAAAAATATTTTCTGGATATTAACAAGAGCGATCAGTAATCACATGTGTCGCCTCATGATGGCCAATTTCATGTTGGGACAAATTTTGTGACAGACGGACAGACAGACGGACAGTGCACAACTAGACTTGGTACTGATCATTCCTGTAAAGTTTGGATAAAATTGCACCGGTAGTTTATGAGGAGTAGTCCGGACAAGCTTTTGCGTATCTGGCAACACACAGAAAAAAAACAACTTTTTATCAAAGGGCTATAACTCAGCCAAAAATCATTCAACCGGAAAACCCGTGCAATATGCGCAAGGACTTGAGCTACAGATCAATCCTGTAAAGTTTCATTGAAATTGCATAAGTGGTATAAGAGAAGTAGTCCGGACAAACTTTAAAAATAAAAATTATTAAAGGGCCATAACTCAAACAAAAATCATTGAACCGGAAAATGCTGACAATATGCACAACTAGACTTGGTACTGATCATTCCTGTAAAGTTTGGATGAAATTGCACCTGTAGTAAATGAGGAGTAGTCCGGACAAGCTTTTGTGTACCTGGCAACACACAGAAAAAGAAACCTTTTTATCAAAGGGCCATAACTCGGCCAAAAATCATTCAACCGGAAAACCCTTGCAATATGCGCAAGGACTTGAGCTACAGAACAATCCTGTAAAGTTTCATTGAAATTGCATAAGTGGTATAATAGGGGTAGTCTGGACAAAACCTTAAAAATAAAAATCATTAAAGGGCCATAACTCTGACAAAAATCATTGAACCAAAAAATGCTGATGATATGCATAACTAGACTTGGTACAGATCATTGTAAAGTTTGGATGAAAATGCACCAGTAGTTTATGAGGAGTAGTCCGGACAAGTTTTGTGACGGACGCACGGACAGACAGACAGACAGACAGACGGACAGACAGACGACGGAGAAGTGATCCCTATATGTCGCCACTACTCCGTAGAGGCGAAACAAAAATCAATCATCTTTAAACGTTATATTTTCAAATATTGAAGATACACCAATGAATTAAAAATAAGTAATTTATAGATAATATATTATAACGCAAAGTTCATACCAGAATGAGTTTTGTTAATTATTAATGCTGATTGCACTACTTTTTCTGACCAATTTTGGTAATCACTACTATGAAATATTTCAGACTGCTTATCGATTATTGATCACAAGAAGATACATCAAATTGTTTCTATTGAAGACGACCCAAATAGCATTGCTTAATTATCATAGTATTATCTTTGAATTGCTAGACCATGATATATATATATAAATATAATAAATATATAAAGAAAAACATCATAGATTTCAACTTACAGTTTCATAGGCATTTTCGTTTGATGATCATGTATTGTTGTGGATTGTTCTTCACAATTGTCTACATCTGACCATTCACTGTCATTTGTAACTTTAGCATCTGACTGAAGAATAGACCTTGAATAAAAAAAATACATATGTACATACAGTATATGGAGAGATATTCATATATGGAAGCAACTGACCCAACACAAACAATTCAACAACACCAGTTAGTTTTGCATAGTCCTTTAAGTTCGTAAATAAACAAAAAACAAACTACCAGTACTCACTTTAGTGCTGGCGAGGCATCTGGCAAAGGACATACGCCAAGATCTTCAATAAGACCTTCCATGTTGTGTTCTGATAGCATTGATTCTTCATGACGCACATCCCTTAAAAAGAATGCATGTATTTAATAAGAATTTTAGTCTTAAACCAATGAAGGTAAGTTCGTCATGTAGAAATAAATACTTTTTTTAAGAACAATTACACATCCATGTTATTTTGAAAAAAAATATGTACATGAATATAGAGTAACATGTTAAAACAGCTCGGTTAAGAAAACAAAATTGTTTAAATAATTTTTGAAATTCTTCGAATTCAATTACACTATTTAGGAAATATCATTTTAAATGTGTCTTACTCCATTTCCTTGATAAATGTTTCTTTTGCAGCAGATTCTGTCGACATGGAAGCCACTGTCTCAATAATATTTCCAGCACGTCTCTCCATTTTTTTCATGTTCTTATTTCCAATTGTGGGTATATTGAGTGTTGACAACAAATTGTTGACCCTCACCGGCCCACCTACACTATCAATCATTGCTGTAAGAAAATGAAAAGAAACAAATTTAATATTTCATTTTAGAATACAAATATTTTGTCCAAAAACACTTCATGGATTATTTACATAACCCTGAAAATAACACATTGTATTTATATAGAGCTATTTTTAGCTGCCTCATGTATGTGACCGTGTGTATTGGCAGCCAAGTGTAAACTGTGTCTTTTTTATAAATGTACCTGTAGGATTCTTACTAAAAATTGCATTGTTTAGTAACGTTTTATCATGACTTTGGGGAAGTTAAAACTGTTTCAAGGGATGTTTATCAACAATTTCACAATAAGGAGTAGTGTTTTATGGTTCAACACAAACAATATACATATATTCTATGTAATAAATTATTTATAAATCTTACACACATACATTCGGTCCGGCTTCGGTCCGCATAAATTCTCTCATAATTTTACATGTTGACATTATTGGAAGACATGTAGATACATGTATATTCATTTTGGTACGAGACCTTACATCTATGAATTCATTATCAGTATAGTACTTCATCTAAAGTATGATGCAATACATAAATCACTTACCTGTTCCTAATTTTGTGTTGACAACGAAACATGGCATTCCAACTTTCCCAGTACAGGTCTTCAATCTATGTGTTTTTCCATAGGGAACACAATTCACATGACCGCATTCTATGTTTTGACATTTCACATACAAATATCCAGACACACCCTTTTTAAGTTCACCTAACACGTTGTCAAATGTTAACGGCACCGGTCCAAGTCGACACTTTTTGCAAGATCTAAGATTTGACAGCAGAACGCCAAACTCAACGATTCTCCTTCCCTCCTTCCAACCGTCAGTATCAACCGATTTAGGAAGAGATGCTGCTTTGTTGGTTGCCCCGAAATACTGGTTACCTGTACTATAGTTGTGTTCAATGATTAAGTCCGAATACTTAGGTTTTCTGCATCTTTTTACACTTTTTTTGAATCGCCCCAGCGTATCACGACTGTGAGACGCCATGTTAGATATCTACGGAAATTACGTCATTTTCTTGGGGAATACTACCACGTGACCGGGGATATCCGCTATTATTAGAATTCCGACTTTACTCGTAAACAAACGAAGTTCGTTACGATAAATGGCGAGATATGGCGGTATTTGTCGAAGATTGCCGATTTCATTAGGGGTCTAATACCTTAACGCGCTTTTAAAGCAGCACACCTCCATTCTTCATGCTAATTTTCTTGAAAATTTTGAAAATGTATTTGAATGTACTATAATATTGTGGAATAACCAAAAGGAAGTAATTTACACAGTATCAATGTCACTTACAACCCACATAAATTAACAAAATGTTGTCAAAATATGCATAAACATGCCTTACTGCGTTAGTAACGCAGTAGAAATATAGTTGGAAATACTGAAAAATCAGTCATTAATTGCACATAACATTTAAAATAAATATTACTTGTATCTTGCATCATTTTACTTTTAGAAAAATAGTAATACATATTTCTCAAGTTTGATTATATTTAAATATTTGGACTCATCTGGAGGCATGCAGCTTTAAGAATTATAAATGAAACACTCTTACACATAATGAGTATAAAACGTACTTATTTGACCTTTGACGTTAAATTTTGGTGTAAACTGGTTGAGTATTTAATGACGCGATTCGTAAACGTGACACATTTCTAAGTGATGTTAGGTGTATTTCAATTTAAAGACGAATAACGTCGAATATCTGTTTAGAATAAAAGGACAAAGACAATTTATGTCCAAATAATGAAACCTCTCGTGCACATATATTTTACAATGTTTGGGCCTAATTACATAATTGAATTATTATCATATAATAGTAATTATCAATAAAAGTATAATAATCAATTTAAAGGAATATTTATACACATGATTTAAAAACTAATTTTAAACGTCTTCAAAATTGAGTTAACAACGAGCGATTCACCTTCTTTGAGGCTTACCGCTTTTTACGTATAAAAACGAAGAATGCAGCTTTACCTTTTTGCTTTATCTAACTTTAACTTCTTATTCTTTCATTATATATTTTAATTTACCAACTATCTTACAAAGTGAAAATAAACACTTATTTTCTTAAACTTTTTGACTGAATATAATATTGCTGTCGTTGATAAGATCATTCAAATTTAATGACGCCTTTCCTTGTTTAATTTTGTTTTCATATTTTATATTAACGTAGCTGATATTTATTTTTCATTAACCACAAGTAAATCATGCGACCTTATGTATAAGAATTGTAATTTTTTATACATTTTGGTATTGGATACAAAATGGCATTTGCTTTTAGCAAAGAAAGGAATTTAGTATAAAAGTTTGGAAGAAAGGTGATCTCTCGGAAGCATTGTTCACAACCAAATTAAATGGAAATTGCAGGCTCGGTTTGTCATTATCGAGTCTGTACATGAGAAACTTCTAGTATGAGTATGAACAGCTTTTAAGTTGAATGATACTACGTTTGGATCTTGTAAACATGACATCTTAAATTTTACATTTCTTAAATAATATTACTTAAATTTATTCAGTACTTTCATTATTAATGGTATCAGTATTCGATTACTAATGTTGCAGTATTAACTACCATTCTTCCTCTGTGTGACTAACGCAATAAGGGCTATTCTGTTCATATATGTTGATATCTTTTTGGTAATTAACGTGAATTACAAGAGCCGTTTGCAATGTGTATCTAACCTTTTTGTCTTTTCACAATATTTTGCTTCTAAAACCATTTTAAATAATAAAATGAAAATGAGCATGGATGCTGCTTTAAAGTATTTCTGTTTTTTATAATTAATTTGAATCTATGTGGCATGTGATATAAGCCCGTACAAAAGGCTACTCAAACTGGCATTTTAATTAACAAAATAGCATATTGGAACAAACGCAAGCTAGTATAGACATCGCTAGAAGACAGACAATAAAGTATCTATATATCTGGAAGGGAAACGATATTATATATAAGTGATTGATTATGTTAAGTAAGTATTGTCTATGTTTTTGTCTTTGTGCCTTTACTTTGCAAATCTTGTCAGAAACATCATTTAGTTATTTGAAGTCACTTTGTCCTCTATGAGTAAAGAATTTCAACAGACAATATTCTAGGTAGTATCCATTGGTTTATAGTATAATAAACACACAGAAATTGTTCGGTTCACATTTGGGTTATAGTAAATGAAACACACATAGATTGTTGGGTTTGGCATTTTTTGAACCGACTCAATTAAACACAGTCTGCCATTTTCAAAATATATATGTACTATTGTTGATTTTGATGTTTTCGAGGGATCAACGCTTTTTTTATTTGAAAACGAATACCGTTTTCACAAACGAAACCATTAGGAGATAAATAATCCGAGTGTTTAACATAAATGTTTGGCATACAGCAGTGGTCATTTTTGTTCGCTTATACATAGCTAATGGAGATCATGGTACCTTTAATCATATTTTAGAAATTGTTCCGTTTTTAGTTTAAACAATATTTCATTTATAATTCACTCATTTACATTATAAAGTACATAAAATATAATTTACGGACTGAGTAGGAAGCTTGTAAAGCTTTTTTTGGAAACTTTCTCCGTAATCAGTATTCAACAAATTTCAAATAAATGGTAACAAAATATAAATATCTAAAAAAACTATACATATCATATCGACTTGTTCTTGCTTTCTTTCTATACATACTATGTTTACGTCAAATATTCATGAACTAAATTTAAGATACATTCCTGTTTTTGTTAAGGGTCCTCCTGGGCTCTTTGCCACTGGTTCTTGGGTCGTGCGTGGGTTCCGTTCATTGAATGCCGCCTTTCCTTGTTGATCTTGTTATCATATTTAACTGGTTTATAATAATAATAATAATAATAATAATAATAATAATAATGATAATATTTCTATTATTCAAACAACAAGTTAATTTCAAAAAATCATTCGTAAATTTGTATGGGTAATTGTGTAATTTGAATCTCATTATGAAAATAGTGATGTCCATTTTTGCGCATTAAGTATCAGTTTTATCATTTAACTAACCTTTATGCATTTAGTGTGGTGCATAATATCTCAATTGTCAGACTGATTGACGACATCTTATTGTACTTGTAATATCAAGTTTAGAACAGGAGCATTTGTATTTCCTTTTTTAACATTTATGGTATCTATATTGCAGCAATGTTGAGGATTACTTTTACTGATATACTAACTTAAAAAAGTAAACTCTAAACATGCTCAAACAAAAAAGTAGTGACAAAGGTGTACACTCATAATATAGCACAATGTAACTGTAATATAGCACGACCGAAGAAGAAACTCTTAGAACGAATTGATAAGTAATTGAAGGTCTGTAATACCACACATATTAGGTTTATAGAGTATGACATAATAATTATAAGACGTATTATTCGATATAACGTAACTTTATATATTGCAGATAATAAGCAGACTCCGAGGGAGCAGACTCCGTTTGATTGAGTTTGTCCTTGATCGATTATAGAAAAGTGTAACGTTTCTTTGCACCGGCAGAAACGATTTTCAATAGTCAAACACTTAATGTGCAAAAATAAATAATAATGAAGGTACAGGGATAACAACAACGAATTTAGGTAATGAGTATCTTTAACCGCAGCAACACAAGTCTTGAAAATTCAGGCATTAAGCTTTGAGTAAAAATTCAAGAAGCATGTTTTCCCGAGAGCTTTTTTTATTTAATTATTTTAAATTTTATCTTTTCAATTAGGTGTTATCAAAACACGATTAAACGCAACACTAATTTCAATTTCAAAACACCTGCTTTTCGTTTTTTATAACATTTCCTTGGAAGAATATGATTAGCTTAAACGAGTTATTTAGTGTTGTTAATAAAAAAAATTGTGATACTTCAATTGGTTTGGTGATTTATCTTTTTAATTAACTAAACAGCACTTTAAAAGCCATTTCACTTATATACGAGGTAATGCTTACAACCGTTTACACTGGAACATATAACCCGGCAAATTTGTTTAATTTGACGATTATTATAATAAAACGTTCCACAATCATCAATCAGTAAAACAGAACTTTGTACAAAAATATGGAAAAAAAAACATTAAATATAAATAGATTCAATACATTTAATAATCAAATCTATGACTAGCAACTGTTATGAGAAATGTATGCGCTTGCATCAAATTGTTGACTAGTCTAGTGCACTCATAACATGTTTCAAAGTAATAAATGCATCAGACGTTTATATTAATTAAGTATTGACACAGACTGTTGCTTCTCATTCCATTAGGTTTATCGCAAATGTTGACTATATAAACAGTATGATTTTATTAATCATTTATGACATCATTATCGTTTATTAGCTGTGCATTAATTTACGTAATTGTCTTTTATTGTAGCCAAGTAAAGTTCATTACAGACTATGTATAAATTTGATGTTTAATGATATTAATTAGATCGTCAATTTTTTACTTTTGCACGTTTTTATTTCCAAATTTCATAAAGTATTCATTTCTATGTTCATTTCAACGTGATGTTGCACACCGAGAGGGAATGTTACGTTGATCTTTAAAAGCGTATATTGTGTCCAAGTGTTTTGTTATTGCAGTTATAGCTACAGTCTAGGGAAAGGTTATATACTTACATATGTCGAGAAACGTTTTTTCACATTTCTAGGCTAGTGTATTTACTATAACAATGAAAAAATATAAATGAAACCGCCACGTTCCCGGATAATAACCTCAACCCTTCTCCTCATACTACCAGTAAGGCGTCTAATGTTTGCTAGCGTCTACGTTATTAAATATTAGGCTACATAATGTCATTTAAGGTTACATAATCGTCACCATTTACCAAAAATATCAACCAATAAATGTTATTACAACTCCAACACCATACTTATAAACAACTTACATGGGTAAAACAACACATTTGCTTATGCGTCAATAATTTGGTAAAGAATAAACTAAACCCATAAACTTACTGGTTTATGATTACTAAATTGGTATTGCTACTTATCAAGCTCAATTAAGTCGTCCGTCATCTAATGACAGTGCTCTCAATCACAACCAATTTAAATGTGCAAAGAACTTAACTTATTTCCAGGTGTATATATTACATATTTTGAATGTCTGTCATTCATTTG